AGGATGGAGGGAAGGAGGGAGGGAGAGGGAGAAAGAGAGAGAGAGAGAGGGGAGAGGAAGGGAGGGAGGGAAGGAGGGAGAGAGAGAGAGAGAGAGAGAGAGAGAGATATAGAGAGATAAGAGCACTCGTACACTAATCCTATCACTGTCGGCCGCTCATCATTACGCAACCTCTCCTGAGATGAGAACATCAACTGCGCTCTTCGCGTATTCCCTTAACAATGGCTTCACCTTGTTCGCTCGGCTAGTTTAGTGAAATTAGAGTAATTATTTATAATATATAATTAGCTACAGGAGAGATAGATGGAGATAGAAAGAGCGGGAGAGAGGGAGGGAGGTAGGAAGGGAGAGAGAGGAGAGAGAAAAAGAGAGGAAGAGAGAGGGGAAGGATGGAGGGAGGGAGAGGGAGAAAGAGAGAGAGAGAGAGAGGGGAGAGGAAGGGAGGGAGGGAAGGAGGGAGATAGCTCATGCCAACGGCACGTCCGGTTAGTTCCTGTCACGAATGCCAACGTACAGGTACGACAGATTCACGGGAACATCTCATCACGAATGCCAACGTACAGGTACGACAGATTCACGGGAACATCTCATCACGAATGCCAACGTACAGGAACGACAGATTCACGGGAACATCTCATCACGAATGCCAACGTACAGGAACGATAGAACCACGGGAACATCTCATCACGAATGCCAACGTACAGGAACGATAGAACCACGGGAACATCTCATCACGAATGCCTACGTACAGGAACGACAGAATCACGGGAACATCTCATCGTCAACGCCTGTGATCTAATATTGTCGTGACAATAGACAGCATGGAAACATCCTGCCATGACAACTGATAGCATGGGAACGTCTTGTCGTGACAATTGACAGCATGAGAACATCCTGCCATGACAACTGACAGCATGGGAATGTCTCGTCATGAGAACTGACAGCATGAGAACATCTTGCTGTGGTCATTCCAAGCATGAGAACATCCTGCCATGACAACTGACAGCATGGGAATGTCTTGTCATGACAACTGACAGCATGAGAACATCTTGCTGTGGTCATTCCAAGCATGAGAACATCCTGCCATGACAACTGACAGCATGGGAAGGTCTTGTCGTGAGGAATTATGACATGGAAACATCTTGCCGTGAGTAATGATGGCACGGGAACATCTTGTTACGATGCATGACGGCATGCGAACATCTCGCCGTGACGAATGACGGCATGCGAACATGTTGCTGCGAATAATCACGTTAGAATGTCGCTCAGATATGAATGACAGCCCTGATGACAACATCTCCTCCCCGGCAACCTGCGAATGCGTACCCGCTATCAGCAAGGGTAGGCTTGTATGATGTGATTGGGTTATTTGCTTGGTAGGATTTCCACGACGGGAATCCCGTTGCCGACGCCTAGTCGGGCAGGCGCTGACAGCACGAAGAGACAAGCGCGTTGATGAAGGCGTCAGCGGCGACGCGCCTCTCCCCTCCGGTGGGAGACTGCACAGCGTCGGTACGAAGGCCTGGTTGCCACCCTACCCAACACACACGCAGAATGGCTGGCTGCCTAAATATTTAATGAGCAAACAGTCGTGATAATACACTAGGCTGGCTGTTGACACATCGACACAAACACACATCTACAGGCGCACTGCTTCGGCTCACACGAACGGGCGGCAATTCAAAGGCCAGGATGGCGCGCGCTATATGTCGATGTGGCGCAGCACGGTATGTATGCGTAGCGCCGAACTCTAGCGCGTCACGTAATGCGCGTATGCTAGCATGAAAGACGTATTATAAATCATACACACGCACACGCACACACGCGCGCGCGCGCGCCTGCCCGCGTATATGCCGTGCGTTCGTACCTACGAGTGTCGGTCCGTGTGGACAATCGTTTGTACACGTGTGCGTGCGTGCGTGCGTGCGTGCGTGCGTGCGTGCGTGCGTGCGTACAAAGGTGCGCACTTGCGTCTATGAGTGTGTGTTCATGGTCGTGCATGGCACAGCACTTGGAGCGTTTCAATAAAATATAATGCTAAATAAATACGAAATCTATTTACTACCAAAGTCTTAATATGTTTCTATACTTTCTTTCCCCTATTATTGACGACAATTTCCTGTAAATGCCGTCCAAATGCTCATCTGCAACAAACACTAGTTATCAGTGCAACCTGGTGGCCAGCATGACCAGGTAGACAAGCACACCCTGGTGGTCAGTCACCTTGGTCCTCAGTCAGCCTAGTTATCAGCGCAACCTGGTGGTCAGTCACCCTGGTGGTCAGCACATCCTGGTTGTCAGTAACTCTAGTTCTCAGCGCACCCTGGTCCTCACTCACCCTAGTTATCAGTGAACCCTGGTTGTCAGTACACCTTGTTGCCAGCGCACCCTGGTAGACAGCACACGCTGGTTGTCAGTGCACTTTGGTTGTCCGCACACCCTGGTTGTCAACATGCCTTGCTGGTCAGCTCTGTCTAGTGCTTAGTGCACCTTAGTGGCTAGCGCTGATGACCTGGTGGTCAGAAACCCTGTTGGCCAGTTGTGCACTCTCTTTGTGCACGACGTCCAGCTAGATACCCCCGTGCGTCGTCGACTTTGACAGCTCCCACCCCCCCGCCCCGCCCCACAACCGAAATCAAACTACTCGACAGCAACTTAAGAAGGAACCCGCGGCGTACGTTCACCCCCTCCCCCCCCTCCCTCCTCCGCCACCCCAGCATTCCTCCTCAGGTTTGAGTCGCGTGCGCGCGGATGTGCGGACGTGGCGGGTCGCGACGCTGCTCACCTTTCACATCCTCGTCCTCCAGTGTGGCGCTGCTGTCACTCGACTCCTTCACACCGTCGTTCTTTTTGGTCAACAGGCTTCTGCCTACAGCGAGGCGGAACACAAAAATTGAAAAGATCGCGTTCGCGGCGCGAGCGCGATTTAGGCAGACGGCCCACACAAAACCGAGACACACGCGCGACATTTACACAGGTTTGCTCTCCCTCACCGAAAAAAGAGAAATGCGCGAGAGGTTTCGAAACGAGCCGAATGGCGTACGTACGCTGAACTTGATACTTACTAGAAAAGTTCCTAGTTGCTAACATGGTGGTCAAGATGGCCCCCTGTCGAAAAAGCAAAGCAGAATCGGCAAATGTTAATTCAATCGAAGAAGCAAATAAAGCAATTCGTGTGCAGCACATGGCTAGAGAATTCACACGTGTGGTGAAGCTGCAGTGCATACACGCGAAGAAACGTAGCCGTGAATTTAACGCTGCAGCGAGTCGCGCTCACTGCAAGCGGACAGACACCACTAGCAGAGCACCGATTGGAGGATGTACCACATCGCCCCCTCTGCCGTTACAGCACTGACAGTACGAACATATATTACGGATCCGACCCTGCAGCAGCGTTCAACCATCACAAAGTGAATGGCAAGAACCAGCCCTCCTCGCAGGTAGGACGGGATGGGGTAGGGGAACGAGATCGTATCGAACGAGAGGTATCACGTTCACGGAGGGGGGAGGATTAGCAGCAGGGCGCACGGGGGAGAAGCTGCACCTACCTTGAGCTTTCTGCGGGCGTTGAACTTCTTCAGACAGTCGACCGTCTCCTGCCTGTGCATCATTGAGGCGACGCGCTCGCGTTGCTGAAACGAGATATCGCACCGTCAGTGACACTGACCGAGCGCGCGCAAACACGGCTCGGTGTCGCAGGCGCGCGCGCGTACGTCGACACGGGTCCATCGTGCGTCCCAGTGCACGTGTGCGCGTGCGTGCGTGTACAAACGCGGATGCCACGCGTGCGAGTGCACGCTTCCATTTCAAAACGTGCGCGTGTCAGTGAGGCAATGCACTGGAGGGAGAAACACGAACCGAATAACGTTTACGCGGTAGCTTCGCCTTCAGGTTATTAATTAGATGGCTTTTTATCTTACGATATCAAAGAGAATTAACGTTAGATCATGTTTACACGGGTGATAACTTCACACGTAACAGTCCATGCTATTAGGCAGCTGGCAATCATGAATTTAATTTAGTGGTAGTTATTCTCTCTACGTTAAAACACCGAATTACTAACAGCACATTAAACGTACACAACGTAGCGAAGGCATTATCAGGCACGAGGCAAACACACGACCTCATCCTACTCATACGTCTAAACTATATGCAGCGCGACACATGTCTGCCGTAACAGTCACACGTTACAAACAACCTTCTCGATCAAGACAAGTGGCGGCTGAAAGCGAGAGAACAAGAAACGATTACCAAGCCCCGTAAGTTCAGAAGATCGATACGCTCGTCCCCGTGCGACATCGGTCCGACGAAACAAACAACACACACCGCCCCGGCTACAGCCACCTGATGCACATCTGATGACAGCGTCTTCTCTACTGACTTCACAATCAAACCCACCCACCCGCACACACACAGACACACACCTACCCCCTACAGTACACCCAAACACACACGCACACACACGACTGAACTACGTCTTGCTGCGGTACCGGTGCCGGCACACTCTAGGAAGCAGCACGTGGCAGCCGGCGCACATGTCAACAAACAACAGAACAGCACATCGAGCAGCACTACGACTACGGCGACGATCACGGCGCCAGCGACAACGCTGACGGTCGTCATGACGAGGACGAGGACGGTCGCCGTGGCAACTACGACTGCATGCACATGGCGACTCGGGCGCCTGTGGCCGGCGGTGTTAGGGCGAGTCGCGGCGTTACCGCATGCGGGCACTACTTGACCTATCTAAGTGCGACGTCGATCTACGGTCGACCCGGCGCCGCCGCCACGAAGCGACAAGCGAACAGCGCCGAGTGACGGATGAACGGACGCATGCGCTGCTGTCCCCAGCAGGCGCGCCCGACCAGGCTCCCGCCGTGTGCGCCGCTGGGCGGTGAAAGCAGAGCATAACTCACGCAGATCCACGGATGCTTGAGGGCCTCGCCCGCGGTGATGCGCTTGTTCGGATTCACGGTGAGCATGCTGTTTATGAGGTTCTTCGCCTCGGGAGTGACAGAGTCCCACTCGAGGGCCGGATACTGCAAGCACACAACGCAGAGAGACATGTTGAGGCGCGGCACGCAGTGGCGGCGGCGCGGTGGTGCGCACTTACGCAGATCCACGGGTGCTTCAGCGCCTCCGCGCACGTCATGCGCTTGCCCGCACTCATCGACAGCATGCTGCTTATGAGATTCTTCACCTCGGGCGTGACAGTGTCCCACTCTGGCGATGGGAACTGCAAATACAAATGGACAGAGGAACCGCGCCTGTAGGGATCGCGTGGCGTCGCCGCCGCCGCAGACACCCCCCCTCTCCGCAACATCTCGAACGTGAGGCAAGCGGCTACCCTCAGCGGCAGCATACTTGTGGAGGGGTCGAACAACGCAGTTGCATTGCTTTCGATTTATGTGTGCGCTAAGTACCCCTGTGGGCTAACGCGATTTGCAAGGAAAATTGGTTTCGAGCAATGGTTTAAAGTGAAACTGTTAATGACTTTCGCAGCAGTTAAATCTGTGCTAACGCATTTAAAGCATGCAAAACACTGGGTCACTATAGTGTCTGCACTTTTAACGAATGCCGTGCACATATAAATGAACGATTGATTCCAGAAGCTGGGATTGCTACTGACACAGATCTACTCCCCGGAACTGCAACGATGCCCTTGCTTCTGATCTAAGAAATTGCAATTAGTATCATTGCCATTGCTGGGCAAGCCACCAGGCTTAAGGCCACCAGGCTTTAAAGGTTACCCTTTAGTTATCACCACCCACACACTGGGCAGCCCACCACACGGACAGTAACAACTGTCACCACAACCCAGGCAGCCCATCACACGAACAGTAACAACATGTCACCACAGCCCGGGTAGCCGACCACGCGGGCAGTAACAACATGTCACCACAGCCCGGGCAGCCGACCACGCGGGCAGTAACAACATGTCACCACAGCCCGGGCAGCCCACCACGCGGGCAGTAACAACATGTCACCACAGCCCGGGCAGCCCACCACGTGGGCAGTAACAACATGTCACCACGGCCCGGGCAGCCCACCACGCGGGCAGTAACAACATGTCACCACAGCCCGGGCAGCCCACCACGCGAACAGTAACAACATGTCACCACAGCCCAGGCAGCTGACCACGTGGGCAGTAACAACATGTCCCCACAGCCCGGGCAGCCGACCACGCGGGCAGTAACAACATGTCACCACAGCCCGGGCAGCCCACCACACGGACAGTAACAACATGTCACCACAGCCCGGGCAGCCCACCACGCGGACAGTAACAACATGTCACCACAGCCCAGGCAGCTGACCACAACGGACAGTAACAACATGTCACCACAGCCCGGGTAGCCGACCACGCGGGCAGTAACAACATGTCACCACAGCCCGGGTAGCCCACCACGCGGACAGTAACAACATGTCACCACAGCCCGACCACACGGACAGTAACCACGTCACCAAGACCCAAGCAGCTGACCACGTGGGCAGTAACAACATGTCACCACAGCCCGGGCAGCCCATCATGCGGGCAGTAACAACATGTCACCACAGCCCGGGCAGCCGACCACGCGGGCAGTAACAACATGTCACCACAGCCCGGGCAGCCCATCATGCGGGCAGTAACAACATGTCACCACAGCCCGGGCAGCCGACCACGTGGACAGTAACAACATGTCACCACAGCCCAGGCAGCCGACCACGCAGACAGTAACAACATGTCACCACAGCCCAGGCAGCCGACCACGCAGACAGTAACAACATGTCACCACAGCCCAGGCAGCCCACCACGCAGACAGTAACAACATGTCACCACAGCCAGCCCGGGCAGCCCATCACGCGGACAGTAACAACATGTCACCACGGCCAAGGCAGCCCACCACGCAGACAGTAACAACATGTCACCACGGCCCAGGCAGCCCATCACGCGGGCAGTAACAACATGTCACCACAGCCCGGGCAGCCGACCACGTGGACAGTAACAACATGTCACCACAGCCCGGGCAGCCGACCACGCGGGCAGTAACAACATGTCACCACAGCCC